TAGTGCAGACTGAGTGAAATTTATCGATCTCTATTTATTTCCAGTTTTAGTCCGTGAGGCAGACACCCTGTCTACTTTTAAGGCTAGGCTTAAAACTTTCCTTTTTGATAAAGCTTCTAGTTAGAGTGGCTCAGGTTATCCTGATCTATCTCTATAGTTCTGCTGCTATAGGCTTAGACTGCTGGAGGACATAGGGACCCCTTTTCCTCACTATGCTATATTCTACTACTGTAAAACAGAACTTTTTCCACATTTATTCCCTATATTAACTTAATATTCCAACCAAATCCAGCTCTTTTTAAAAACTATTTTCCTTGATGGCTGTGACCTCTTCAAGTAGATTAATATTCCTGGTTTTCCTCTGCGAGGCCCAGGATGACTTTAATCTACTGAGTTAAACAGAATTTAAAGTTCTGGTAGTCCTAATCTCGATGACATTCTGCTATTTTATAGAAAAATGTGCCCTATTAATGGGAATTTAATATACTTCAACAACAGAGGATCTGCAGTTAGGAGTCAGAATTGTCTGTAGAACCTGAGAGCTCCATAGAGACCATGATGCCATGGATTGGGATATTTGATTAAGGAACTACAGAGAAATAAGCATTTCTGTTGCAGTAGGGAGCTTCAGGGGGTTCATCATATTAGAGGTGACGGGGGGGCATTCTGCGGTGGAATTGAACTGCTTTTCATTTTTCTGTTGCAGCAGAAAACCGTTAAGCTACTTGATTTTCACCCCTCCATGTAAATCTTAATGAGCTGAGGTTAAGCTGAGCTTAGGACCAGGTTTAAAGGTCATAGGGAGCTTAAATCAGATGACATTGGAGGAGGGTAGATGGTGCAGGGGTGTTTCTGAGTGAAGCAGAAGGTTTGATGCAGTTGGGAGCTGCATGCTGGATGCTGTACCTCATCAGCTGACGGGTACTGAAAGCTAAAAGAAGCCTGTAAGGACAAAACACACCAACAACACAGGAGACATTAGAGACAACCAACAGGTGGAAATTACATGCAACAGGTAAAAAACGGGAAACAGAGAAGTTTTAACCTGCAGCCGCTTCATTGGCTGTGGGGCTGACTGTAGGAAGTGAGATCATGGGTACTTCTTCACCAAGAGCCGCTTCCTGCAGCAATGCTTTTCAGATTTAAGGGTAACTTTAAACTTTAAGATCTACGTCAATATAACATCTGCTCTTTTTTAAAGCAGGTTGGGTTATATTTATAGGACTGCCATTGAGTCCTTCAGCTGATGTCGCATAGATAACTGATCGGGGGGGTCATGAACCAGTTTAACTGATGGGAAACCAGTATTGCGTTTCCCTGAACTGATGCAGATCAGAGGAAACAGAAACCTTCCAGCTGGACTGAAATCTACGGCCGTCAACGAGGACAAAGAGTTGCCAGAAATCTTAAAACTATTGATACTCGGAGTAAAATACTAATTCAATAAGGTATCCATTCTAAAGATGAATGTAGTTTGCATATTTTTGCCATTGATAATTTTAGATTCCTGAATTCTATGAACCTTAAAAGAATAACATCTCAGGCAACCTTCAGATATTATCAGCTGTTATATTTGATAGCTTATTGTGCATTTATTTAGAATCTGTGACACTGTTGATAAAACATGTTCCAGGTTTAGATTGATTTTTATGTTAATAATGATTAAAACTGGTATTGAACATTTTTATATGTTCAATATTTTCATGGACCGGAGATTTTACAATCAAGTAAAATGATCAGACTGGCATAAAATCAAATACAAACAGCATAAAAATAAAACAACAAGCCGGTCCCATCGAGGCGTAATCGGAGAAAACTGAGGCTCCGTCCACACGAAGTCAAAACGAACACGAACGCTAATATTTTCCAGAACGTTTGTCGTAAAGACGGAGACGTAAAATAAATGTGATCGTCCACACGAATGCATGAAAACGCTGCAAAATGTATGCCAGGCCTGTAAGTGGCGCTGTGGTGCCAAAGCAAAAATAGGCGACGAAATGTTGGGCATGCGCAGTAATATTTATACATGGTTGCCCTGCGGGTCCATTTTGGTGGTTCAGTCAAATTCAGGTGCTGAACTATGTGGTCGATATTGCTCTGTTCTTCCTGGAGATATTCCAGAAGAAGAAGATTCTGTTGTAAGCCCGACAGCAGGGTGAGTAGCATGAGCAGCAACCATTCAACACAGTACGCCGCCATTGTTGTTGTGATACTGTGTCGCGCATGCGTGTTTAGAGGCGACGCTATGACGCATGCGGGTAAGAAAAAAAATGCAGTTAGAGCTTAAAGATGGAAACGCGAAAACGGCGTTTCAAAATCTTCCCACTCTGAAGGCTGAATAAAAAAAAGATCGTTTACAGACCCCCGAAACGCCGGCTTCGTGTGGATGAGAGGCTGGTTTGGTGAAAAATTTGTGCGTTTAGGCCAGGGTTTGACTTCGTGTGGACGGGGCCTGACAGACGCTCCAGATGTCCAGTCTGCTCCTTTGCTTTGGTCGCTGTAACCGCAGAAAATCCCGCTTCTCATAGATAGGATGTTATAGATAGGATGTTATAGATAGGATGTTATAGATAGGATGTTATAGATAGGATGTTATAGATAGGATAAGTCTTAACCTGTGGCAAGAGGCACAGATGCACCGACTGATGTAATTGGAGAGAATATTGCAATTTTTTATATTTTTCAAAATAAAACATCACTCAGACTCTGATCGTCGATAAATTATATTTATATAGTTTTTTCTGTGCGGCCCGTTACCAAATGACCCACGGACCGGTACTGGTCCGCGGCCCGGTGGTTGGGAACCGCTGGTATAGAGTTTGAAGTTTAAGTATCTGACCACCGTAGGCTAAAGCAGGCTAACTATGAGCTGGGAAATGTTTTTTTCCAAATCTCTGACTTAAAGAGTTTTATGTTCGTTTTTTCCCATGACTATCTTTATAATTAATTTGAGTCTTTAGGACTAAAACATCCTTTGATGATCAGACCGACGCCTTATTAGTTCAGCATCGATGCATCTATAAGCCTGTAGATTATTTTCCTGAATTTACTTTAGGACGCAGGAGGAGGCGTCCATGTTAGCAAACTATTGAGGTTTTTTATTCAACATGGATTTTGTGGACACTCTGAAGCGACCGTCATCCAGCTTAACGATAGCACCTCCAGGTGAGGTGAAAAAAGGAAAAGAGTGGGCTGCGGGAACGAGCAGAAGATACCTGCAGTTCTGTACTTTGGCCACAGGTGGCAGCATCATCAAAAAAATCCCTTCACGCCTCGTTATTCAGATATTTATGGTTTAGGATTAAAAGCTGGAGTTCCAGTTCAAATTATTTCCAGCTCCTTTTATTTTATTTGGATGATTAATTACCTTTATGCTCATTAAGTCCAGAGGAAACCAAGAGAAAAGCTGCAGTGATTCCACCGTGGAAACAGACCAATGGTGGTGATATAGGATGAGTTTGTGGAAACAAATCAACACATTTAACAGAACAAAAAGAAAAAAAAGGATAAATCCTGTCCTTCATGTTCATGAATGCCTGAAATCAACAAGTTCTGCTCTAAGTTTGTGTTTCTGTGTGTTTTTGCAGCTTCTGACCAGCAGAGACATGAAGAACTTGTGCAGGTAGACAATCTGGATGCACCCTAGACTCATGGTGACCTTCCCGTCCACCTTGGACATGTCGCCGTATCCTTCGCCCTGTGTTGCCCCCGGAAACAAGGACAGCTTAAAGCTGAACACCTCGTTGCCTACGATGGACACGGCCTGCGGGGAGGAGGAAGAGGAAGTTACTTCTGTTACTAAGACAGACTGACTGCAGAGCCGCGCGTCTCTCTGACCTTCCTGTGGACGGTCTTTGGGTTGGCGTCTGTGACCACGATGTCTCCGAGGCGCGCAAACACCTCCGTCTCCTTCGCCTGCATGAACACCGAGGCCTTGATTTCTATGTGGAGGAAACATGGACTACGTTTATACTCCGACCATCTGCAGGACTGCAGCTGACAGAGGAGCGTTCGTACCCTGAACCCGGATGTCAGCGATGCTGCAGCGATCATCGCAAACCTCCACATGGAAGCAGCCCAACGTGGCGAAGAGCTTGAAGGTGAAGACGCCGCCATCTTTTTTGCTTTTAGACACTAAAAGACAAACACATCCACACAGACATCCTGTCAGATGCAGATTTAATAAATAAATATATAATACCATCTTTAAAGGCTCTGATGTTCCGGTACGCCACTCTTTAAAAGACAACCTTAAAGGAAGAATTTGGGTCTGAACCGTTTGCGTGATGAGTCCTAACAGGTAAACAGAGGCGACCTACCCGTCTGACTCTGCTCTGTTTTCTGCACCAGCTTCTTGGTGTCGGGATCCCGTGTGGCGCTGAACTGCTGCGGCACGGCGCTGTTCAGGTAGCTGATGGTCGCCAGCAGAGCTTTGGTATGAAGAAGGAAGTCCAGAGACGAAAGCTCCACCTAGAACGGCAGAGACAGACGTGACGACGAGCCAGGACGTCGGAGAGCACAACAAGCCCCAGGAGGCACATCGGACCCACCTTCAGCGTCTGCTCCGTGTTGCTGAACTGAGTCTGGAAGCTGGGACCGTTCGGGTCGGCCTGCGGCGCCACAGCAACAAACGACTGTTAACTCCTCCGTTAATGAACCAAACTAACAGAGTCTCACGGTAAGTCAGACGTACCTTGATGAACTCCACCTTCAGCAGGTTGGAGTCCTGCTGCTGCAGGGAGCTGATCAGGTGGAGCGGCTCTCTGCCCACTGAAACGGTCAAACAACAACATCCTGCTACAGTCATCCACTTTTCAAAGCGCCGAAACAAAACGAGACCCAGAAATGACCGAAGGCGTTTAGAGAAGCTACAGAAACAGCGGGACCTAAAGAGGCTATGAGGACATCAGGAACTAGGGATGGGAATCGAAAACCGGTTCCGTATTTTCCGATTCCATGGCATCGTTTGGCAGCTCGCTGAATGATTCTTTTTCGATTCC